CCCCCCAGATCCTTCCTTTCTCCGGTAGGGTGCATCCTGGAGAGTGCGTCGGCCTTCACATTCTGGGATCCTGGGCGGTAGGACAGAATGAAATGGAAGCGAGTGAGAAATTGGGCCCACCTGGCTTGACGAGAGTTCATCCGTTTCGCTGCCCGTATGTGCTCCAAATTCCGGTGGTCAGTAAGAATCCGGAATGGATGGACTGCACCCTCCAGCCAGCGTCTCCATTCCTCCAGAGCGAGGACCACCGCCAACAGCTCCCTGTCTCCAACTCCATAGTTCCTCTCTGCGGGGGTAAGATTTTTAGAGAAAAAGGCACAGGGATACATTTTCTCTGGCTTACCGTTCCGCTGGGAGAGGACCGCACCCACGCCCTCCTCTGATGCGTCCACCTCCAGGATGAAAGGACGAGATGGATCTGGGTTTTTTAGGATGGCCGCTGTGGTGAACCTCTCCTTCAGCCTCTTGAAGGCAGCGTCAGCCTCAGGGTTCCAGGCCAGCTTCTGAGGCCCACTCTTAAGGAGAGAGGTGAGCGAGGCGGCTATGGAGCTGAAGGACCTGATGAAATGCAGGTAGAAATTAGCGAAGCCCAGGAAGCTCTGTAGGCCTTTGATTGTGGTGGAAACTGGCCGTGACCTGACGGCGTCTGTCTTCACTCCTTCCATGAACACCCCCTGAGGACTGATCCAGTATCCCAGGAAGGAGATGGCCTGTTGGTGGAATTCGCATTTCTCCCCCCTTCACCAACAGGCTGTGTTCCCAGAGGCGGAGTAGGACAGCTCGGACATCCCTGACGTGCTCCTCAAACGTAGCCAAGTAGATCAGGATATTGTCTTTGTACACCACCACCTGTCTACCCAGCGTGTCCCGGAACACGCCATTGACGAAGGACTGGAACACAGAAGATGCGTTGGCGAGGCCGTAGGACATGACGCAGTATTCATAGTGGCCTGAGGTAGTGCTGAATGCCGTCTTCCACTCGTCTCCTTCCCGGATTCGGATCAGGTTGTAGGCACTCCACAGGTCCAACTTGGTAAAGTACCGGGCCCCTCGTAGCTGCTCAATGGCCGACGGAACCAGAAGGAGGGGGGGGTACCGGTACTTGGTGGTGACTGCGTTCAGCCCCCTGTAGTCAATGCATGGTCTCAGTCCTCCATCTTTTTTGGCCACGAAGAAGAAGCTGGCGGAGGCAGGAGAGGTAGAGCGTCTGATGAACCCCTGTTTCAGGCTCTCCGCCACATACTTCTCCATGGCCTCAGTCGCCGCCAAGGAAAGGAGGTAAATGCGACTCTTCGGGGGGTGTTGTCCCTCCAGCAGGTCAATGGCACAGTCTCAGGGCCTGTGAGGAGGGAGACACATAGCCTTTAATGAAGAGAAGACATCGGAGAGATCTGTGTACTCACGTGGAATGTTGGGCTGGAGGGCGGACTCCGGACTCTCCACTGACGTGGAACAACAAACCACTGGCAGGCAGGTCTTCGGCATGAGGTGGACCAGGCTGTGATCCTCTTGGTGCTCCAATTGATGGTGGGGTTGTGTAGTCTGAGCCAGGGCAATCCCAAGACGATCCGGTGAAGGTGTGACGTGACGATGTGGAATGACAGCTCCTCGTGGTGCTCCGGTAGTGTGGGAATGGTGATGGGGAGAGTGACGTGCGTAATGGTGCCTGATCCAAGAGGTTTATTGTCCAGTGAAGTAACGTATAGCGGAGATTGGCAGTGGCACATTCCCTGAACCCCCATTCAGAGACCAGCTCCCTATCTATAAGGTTCCCCCCTGATCCGGAATCTATCATTGCGGTAGAAATAACCAGTCACTGTTATGGGAACTAAAAACAATGGTTTTGTGATAGGAGCTGACGAAACACTCACGGAGTGGCGACGGGAGTCATACCGCCTAGATAGGGAGCCGCCAGGAGATTGGTGGTCCGTGGTGGTGTAGGTGGTGCTGCCCACCTCCATGGGTGAAGACTCGGAAGCAGCGCGGCTTCCATAGCTCAGATGGGGTGAGCGTCGAGGCTCCGGGAGGTGTTGGGAACGCCATCTCTCTCTCTCAACATGTCATCAAGATGATGGACGTGGTGATGAGGGTATCAAGGTCCATCTCGTCGTCCCGACATGCGAGTTCCATCTTGATGTCCTCCCGTAAGCCTCTCCTAAAGGCCGTGCGCAGAGCACGCTCATTCCAGCCGGAAGACGCCGCCACCGTGCGGAAGCTCAGAGCGTACTCGGATGCGGGCCCCTCTCTCTGTTGTAGGTTGGAGGAGACGCTCACCCGTCCTTTCCATTTCCATTTTTAGTCATTTAGCAGACGCTCTTATCCAGAGCGACTTACAGTTAGTGAGGGCATACATTTTCATACTTTCCCTCCGTGGGATGATCAAACACCGCCCTGAACCTAGAGAGGAAGGTGGAGTAGGGAAGTGCCACTGCCTCCTCTCCTTCCCAGACGGCCGTGGCCCAATCCAGCACCTTTCATTTAAAAGGCGAAATCACCAGCACGATCCTGGCTTGGTCAGATGGATATGCCCCAGGCTGATGCGCCAGATAAAGGGAAACCTGTAGCAGGAAGCCGCTACATTTAGTAGTTTTACCGTCATAGCGCTCCGGTAGGGCAAGGGTTCCCGCTGGAGTGGGTGATAGCACGGGAACAGGTGGATTGTGGGCACTCGCCACTCCCTGAGGTGGAACCGGAGCGCTGGGCACATTATGCAGAGTTTGGAGCACTTCCTGCATGGCGGCGTTCCACTGGGCAAGCTGCTGCTGGTGCTGGTCGAGGCACTGGGAAACTCCTGCTGCATCCATTTTCATTAGGTGTGTGATTCTGTGACGAGTACTGAGTATACGACGGAGAGAAATAACAAAGATAGAGTAAACGACACAACGCTAAACAATCACACACAACATCATCCAGAACAGTCCAGGGCTAAATAGGGGTGGTGATGAGATGATGAGGTGCAGGTGCGCTGGAGGTGATTAGGGTGCGTTGGGTTTCCATTCCGGTTTTGCCGAAGTGGTGCGCTCAGACCGGTGAATCAGAGCGCCGGAGGGGAGCAATGGGAGGAGACGTGACAAGACAAGTCCATATTATGGCATGAAGAGCTCAAATAAGTAAAGAGAAACAACAGTCCATCATTACTTTAATACATGAAGGTCAGTCAATCCGGAAGGTTTCTTCAGGTTTCTATCCTTTCTTCAATTGCAGTCGCAAAAACCATCAAGCACTATGATGAAACTGGCTCTCATGAGGACCGCCACAGGAAAGGAAGACCCAGAGTTACCTCTGTTCATTAGAGTTAACTGCACCTCAGATTGCAGCCAAAATAAATGCTTCACAGAGTTCAAGTAACAGACACATCTCAACATCAACTGTTCAGAGGAGACTGCGTGAATCAGGCCTTCATGGTCGAATTGCTGCAAAGAAACCACTACTAAAGTACACCAATAAGAAGAAGAGACTTGTTTGGGCCCAAGAAACACGAGCAATGGACATTAAACCGGTGGAAATCTGTCCTTTGGTCTGATGAGTCCAAAATTTTAGATTTTTTGGTTCCATCCGCTGTGTCTTTGTGAGACGCAGAGTAGGTGAACGGATGATCTCCGCATGTGTGGTTCCCCCCATGAAGCATGGAGGAGGAGGTTTGATGGTGTGGGGGTGCTTTGCTGGTGACAACTGTCTGTGATTTATTTAGAATTCAAGGCATAATTAACCAGCATGGCTACCACAGCATTCTGCAGTGATACACCATCCCATCTGGTTTGCACTTAGTGGGACTATCATTTTACTTTTCAAACAGGACAATGACCCAAAACACACCTCCAGGCTGTGTAAAGGGCTATTTGAGACCAAGAAGGAGAATGATGGAGTGCTGCATCAGATGACCTGGCCTCCACAATCACCCAACCTCAACCCAATGTATATGGTTTGGGGATGAGTTGGAACCCGCATAGTGAAGTAAAAGCAGCCAACAAGTGCCCAAGCATAAGTGGGGAACTTCTTCAAGACAGTTTGGGAAAAAGCATTCCTCATGAAACTGGTTGAAGAGTATGCCAAGAGTGTGCAATGCTGTAGATCAAGGCAAAGGGGTGCTACTTTGAAATAATATATCATATAAAATTATATTTTGATTTGTTGAAAAAAAAACCCCCTTTTTTTGGAATAAAATGTTCCAAATTTTTGGGGTTTTAAGTTTGTGCTTTTTTAATTTTATACAAAAAAAAAAAAAAAAAAATTGTTATTAAGGGGTTTTCCAAATTTTCTTTGGGGTGATTTAAAGTATTTAAAGGGTAATTTTTTAAATTTACGTTGGGTAAAAAGGGTTTCCAAATAATTTTGTTTGATTGGGATTCATAAATAAAATTTTTAAAGATATTGTAAAAGTTTGTTGATAAGTATTTTATAAAAATGTATGATGAAAACAATTTTAAAGTAATTAAATTTTATTTATGATAATGTAAAGTTTTTTTAAAAAATTAAAAAATGAACCCAAAGGGAAAGTATGGTTGGGGGGATATGGTAAATGGGCATACCCAAAATTTTAAAATGCCCCAATGAGGGGAAGCAGGCCTCTTCTCTTTCCAACCCCGGGGAAAAATCTTATATTAATTAAAAACATGGGGGAAAAAATAATTTGTCAGCCACCAATTTGTGCAAAGTTTCTCCCACTTAAAAAGATGAGAGAGGGCCTGTAATTTTTCATCATAGGTACACGTCAACTATGACAGACAAAATGAGAAAAAAAAATCTATATATATATAGAGAGAGAGAGAGAGAGAGAGAGAGAGAGAGAGAGAGAGAGAGAGAGAGAGAGAGAGAGAGAGAGAGAGAGAGAGAGAGAGAGAGAGAGAGAGAGAGAGAGAGAGAGAGAGGAGGATGAAATAAAAGTAGTAAATTGTTATACAGTGCTGACATGCTAAATGCACAGGGAATCTCACACACACACTTGCCATTACACCTTCATTCCTAACATTCACACCATTCCCCCTTCCTCCCCCTCACCTGAGTCTGAGGTGTGAATGGGAGAAGAGGCGTAGCAGAAAGCGTCCGGTGGCCCCAGGTTGGAAGGTGGTGGGGAGGAGGGCGTAGCGGCCGTGGCCCAGGGTCACTCGCAGGGCAACGCTACGGGAGTCCATGTACACAGAGCTGGCAGCCTGCTCCACCACACACTGCACACGGCTTAGACGGTTCACCTCCACCTGTTAACAGTGGGGAGGGTGAATTAATATGCGGGTAAACGTACAGTAAATATGATGCACACACTTATGTACCAGACCTGGGTTCAAATACTATTTGAAATATCCCAATTACTTTCACATACATTTCAAAGTAAGTATTCAGATATTTTTTACTTGAAAGCACGAGAAGTTGAATATTGGAATGTATTTGATAATACACTTGGAAAGTATTGGCATGTAGGAGTAAACTGTCTCTACTCTCAGCACTTATGCCCAATTTTCTACTATAAAACGCTTTGTGGATACGGGCCCTGGTCCTAGGAGTATTCAAAATAATGTATTTGGAAATAAGTATTTGAAAATACTTTCAAAGATTCAATGCATGATTAATATAATTGGCCAATACATTTCGTGGTAGTCCAAAAAATATTGCTATTAGGTTGTAAACCACAGCTGGCTTGGTACATTGTTTGCTGCCTCCATTCGGGATGCACTGATTCAGTTTCAATGACTCAATATTCTGGACAAAAATGGACGAATGTAACTAAGGCTGGGAATGTCAATTCACACTGGCTATCTACTCCGATTTCAGAGCACTCTCGTCTGAGTGTGCCAGAGCGCAGAACAACTGATGAATTTGCAAACGAGCAACACCAACTGAATATGACCGGTGTCAGTAAACGTAGGTAAAAACAGTAATAGTTCGTCAAGAACGCTCTAGTTAACATGTAAACAGCTTAACCAGCTCTGCTACGGCGAGTAAAATGGTCAGAGTGAGGTGTTCTCTCATTTGTGTCTGGAAGTAGCTAGTTAGCAATCTAGCCAACTTTAGCCAGTTAGCTTGGGTGCTTGGTTGGGACAAGCATGCATTGGCAGGCAAGCTGCAGAAGAACGAGGAGGCTACAATTCCCCATCGTTTATCAGTGCAATTTTGACGGCCAACTAGCTGAAAAAGTGTGAGAGGGTTTATTTTAGCTTATCTTGCTCTTGCTAGCATTAGTTATTGATCTTCTTGTTGTTGATGTGCATAACTGATGGAGAGAGAGCATACCTTTTCATGGTTGTTTGATCAATCGGACTGTAAAGTTCCAAAATGTAAGAGGACTCCTGTGGTGTTTACATATTTGCAGAAATCCATTCAGGTGTATTTTGTGGCTTTTGGAGAATGTGTTCTAATGATTTAAAGTCGCGCTGTTGCAACTGCCTGTAAACACACAGTCCAGTTCAAAGTGAATGATGGCAGGCCCGTGTGGAAATGGCTTGTTTGTCTAAAGGCCTACTGTAGCTCTAATTGGCTATAGCGCACCGGTCTGTGTAGACTCTGGTCCTGGACAAGACAGATGTTTTTATTCGGTTTTATTAACTCCAGTGTCTATTAATTGTCCAAACGCAAGGCCGCTTTCCCACTCTATATTACTATAGAATTTTCACAAATCCCTTAGTATACTATACGTAATTCCCAAACATTCTAAGAATTTATGAAAATTGAAAATGACTATATTTAAGTGGTTGCTTGTCATATATATATATATTAAGTGTCATATTCTTCCTGGGGGTGTATATTAACAGATTTTAATAAATGTTCATGTTGCTAAAATAATGTCAGTTACACTTTAAATACAACAATATTTCACAAACATAAGTTATTTTCAAAGAGATAGCTAACAAGAGCAAGTGCGCTTAAATAAACACAGTTCCACTCACCAGATGATGATCATTTGAAACTTAACTTCTTGTTGAAAGTCATTCTTGAAAAGGGAGAAGCTAACAAATTAGCAACAACATCCACTTTGATAACACCTGCTGCAGCTGCTGCAAACTAGCCGACAACAAAAGCTAGCTAGCTAGACCGTGGGAAAACTATTGCTCGCTATTGCACAGTGACCTGTTGGCCTTCAAGAAGGCAGAAGTTTCAATACATTTTTGTAAAAACAGTCCCACCCATTAAGTCAAAATGTGATTGGTTGATTCTACTGTCACTCAAAATGTTTGCCCTAATACAGTTGAATGGCAGGTGCCTTTATCTTTATTCCTTCAGTGTTAACCCTTTATTTTCCAACATAAACTGAAGAGATTAAATCAGAACATCATTGAAAATAATAATATCATTATCATTATTATTATAATCATTATTTCATAAATCCTTAGGCCTTGACTCGGTATCGCCCCCCCTCTGGTCTTGGTCTTGACTCGGACTCGATTTGCTCCGGTCTTGGTCTTGATTCGGTCTCGCTTTAGGTGGTCTCGAACCCAACACTGACACACACACACACACCTTGGATGTACTGTAGCATTCTACAGTGACCAATGTTCCCTTTAATTATTGTTGTCACTGAGAAAATGTCAGGTCTGCTGAGTGCAAACTCTGTAAAACTTCCGCCGCACGTTTACTGTGAACACTGAGGCAGTACCTGCTTTAAGTTAGTTTTAACAGTGGTCAAGTAGGCTAGTGTGGCTATTTGATCGTAATGTAGGCCTTCCAGAGTGGCCTACCATCAAAAACAAACATGGAGATAGCTGTTCTACCGTTCAGCGTACAGTAGCAGCCAATGTGTGGTGTTCAATGTAGGCCTACATTTCATGAGACTTTTGAAAGAAACATGCAGGGCTTGACATTAATCTGTTTATCCACTTGTCCTTCAGACAAGGAGCTGACTGAAAATGTTGTTTTGTTGTTTGATGCAAGAAACCACTTTACAAAATAAAATGCATAATTATTCCCATACCATTATTACAGAGAATTGGACAAATTATGTTACCCTCTGCCTATTAGCTACTTAGTTCAAAATACAACACTGCCCCTTTAAGACAAAAGCAAGCTCTTTACCTGACTTGCTTTTCAAAGGTTGTGTGCTCTTGTAGGAAGCAATCACGCCCCCATTGCTGACTACAAAGGGTCTATAACTGGGCTAATAACTCAGTAACTAGCAAAGGATATGAACAAATGCACACATGTGCACATGTCGCTACATGTAGCTCTCGCTTTGATCTCAAAACAAGCACATCTACTCACGACCGCTCATGCTGTTAAACCAGTCTAGTTCAATGTGAATGGCACAGATCCATATATGGCAATGGTCTATTTTCATATAGGCCTACTGCAGCTCTGATTGGTTATGCCACACCGGTCTGTGTAGATTTCGGGCCTGAGTCGTGCCTGTCAATGCAATAGAATTCTACTCCGATGCGTTCTGCCTACAACAAAATCTCTTACATAGTTAGTTTTGCATACTAAATCTTGCACAGTTTGTTTTGTTTCGGTATGTTGCATTGAAAGTGGCTAAGGTTGCATTGATTCGATCACAATTCCCACAGTAAAGGGAAATGTTGATAGTGTTAACTAACGGGGAAAACTCTTGAAAGTTGAATGAAGTTCAATCTCGTGCTTCTCTGCGCGGGCTGATATTTCTTCTGCATGGCAGTCCCAGGGAGCTGCGTGCCCGTTTGCAGCTTAGAGGGATCATTGCCTGTGACTCACCCTCAGCACCTCGAAGCCGATGGGCAGATTCTCTCCTCCTCCATCCTTCCTCTTTATCCTCTTGTCCTCCTGCTGCAGACAGATCAACACCTCATCCTCCTTTCCCTGCACCTCGAACATGAACTGTAGTGGGAGAGGGGGGAAAAGAGAGAGAAGGGACAGAAGGGAGGCAGAGCGTCCCTAGAATAGCAGTAACTCTAATATAGCTTAGTGTCAGCCATGTTGTTTTTAGCTTAGCAATGTTGTTTTCCAACTGCAACACTCTGAATAGGCTTTCACAGGTCTATTTCGACACCATTAAGATTGCAGCAGTTACCAAAATAGTACATGTTTAGTCCTTACAGTTATAGCAACACAAACTATTTACATGCTTGTGGTATAAGCATACTATATTTGAGATACTATACTAGCATACTGAGTGTACTTCTCAGAACATCAAGAATGTGTTTATCACTACTGTCAGAATCTACAGTGAGGGAAAAAAGTATTTGATCCCCTGCTGATTTTGTACGTTGTTTGCCCACTGACAAAGAAATGATGAGTCTATAATTTTTATGGTAGGTTTATTTGAACAGTGAGAGACAGAATAACAACAAAATAATCATGTCAAATGTCAAAAATGTTATGAATTGATTTGCATTTTAATGAGGGAAATAAGTATTTGACCCCCTCTCAATCAGAACGATTTCTGGCTCCCAGGTGTCTTTTATACAGGTAACGAGCTGAGATTAGGAGCACACTCTTAAAGTGAGTGCTCCTAATCTCAATTTGTTACCTGTATAAAAGACACCTGTCCACAGAAGCAATCAATCAATCAGATTCCAAACTCTCCACCATGGCCAAGACCAAAGAGCTCTCCAAGGATGTCAGGGACAAGATTGTAGACCTACACAAGGCTGGAATGGGCTACAAGACCATCGCCAAGCAGCTTGGTGAGAAGGTGACAACAGTTGGTGCAATTATTCGCAAATGGAAGAAACACAAAATAACTGTCAATCTCCCTTGGCCTGGGGCTCCATGCAAGATCTCACCTCGTGGAGTTGCAATGATCTTGAGAACGGTGAGAAATCAGCCCAGAACTACTCGGGAGGATCTTGTCAATGATCTCAAGGCAGCTGGGACCATAGTCACCAAGAAAACAATTGGTTACACACTACGCTGTGAAGGACTGAAATCCTGCAGCGCCCGCAAGGTCCCCCTGCTCAAGAAAGCACATATACAGGCCCGTCTGAAGTTTGCCAATGAACATCTGAATGATTCAGAGGAGAACTGGGTGAAAGTGTTGTAGTCAGATGAGACCAAATTGGAGCTTTTTGGCATCAACTCAACTCGCCGTGTCAGGAGGAGGAGGAATGCTGCCTATGACCCCAAGAACACCATCCCCACCGTCAAACAAATTCTTTGGGGGTGTTTTTCTGCTAAGGGGACAGGACAACTTCACCGCATCAAAAGGGACGATGGACTGGGCCATGTACCGTCAAATCTTGGGTGAGAACCTCCTTCTCTCTGCCTGGGCATTGAAAATGGGTTGTGGATGGGTATTCCAGCATGACAATGACCCAAAACACACGGCCAAGGCAACAAAGGAGTGGCTCAAGAAGAAGCACATTAAGGTCCTGGAGTGGCCTAGCCAGTCTCCAGACCTTAATCCCATAGAAAATCTGTGGAGGGAGCTGAAGGTTCGAGTTGCCAAACGTCAGCCTCGAAACCTCAATGACTTGGAGAAGATCTGCAAAGAGGAGTGGGACAGAATCCCTCCTGAGATGTGTGCAAACCTGGTGGCCAACTACAAGAAACGTCTGACCTCTGTGATTGCCAACAAGGGTTTTGCCACCAAGTACTAAGTCATGTTTTGCAGAGGGGTCAAATACTTATTTACCTCATTAAAATGCAAATCAATTTATAAAATTTTTGACATGCGTTTTTCTGGATTTTGTTGTTGTTATTCTGTCTCTCACTGTTCAAATAAACCTACCATAAAAATTATAGACTGATCATTTCTTTGTCAGTGGGCAAACGTACAAAATCAGCAGGGGATCAAATACTTTCTTCCCTCACTGTAACTACTAGTCATAACCAAACATACTCTGAGTGGACTGAACCTTGGCCTTGAACCATTTAACCAGTTGTTATGCCCATAAACCTAGCTATAGTGTAGGCTCACCTGGGGGTTGTGTAGAAATATATAGGGTAGGCTCACCTGAGGGTTGTGTAGAAATATATAGGGTAGGCTCACCTGGGGGTTGTGTAGAAATAAATCGGGTAGGCTCACCTGAGGGTTGTGTAGAAATATAGGTAGGCCGGGTTAATATAGAGGGTAGGCTCACCTGGGGGTTGTGTAGAAATATATAGGGTAGGCTCACCTGAGGGTTGTGTAGAAATATATAGGGTAGGCTCACCTGGGGGTTGTGTAGAAATATATAGGGTAGGCTCACCTGAGGGTTGTGTAGACATATATAGGGTAGGCTCACCTGAGGGTTGTGTAGAAATATAGGGTAGGCTCACCTGGGGGTGTGTAGAAATCTATAGGGTAGGCTCACCTGGGGGTTGTGTAGAAATATATATAAGCTCACCTGGGGGTTGTGTAATAATATATAGGGTAGGCTCACCTGGGGGTTGTGTAGAATATATAGGGTAGGCTCACCTGGGGGTTGTAGAAATATATAGGGTAGGCCTCACCGGGGGTTGTGTAGAAATTATAGGGTGCTCACCTGAGGGTTTGTAGAAACTATAGGGTAGGCTCACCTGGGGGTTGTGTAGAATATATAGGGTAGGCTCACCTGAGGGTTGTGTAGAAATATATAGGGTGGCTCACCTGGGGTGTGTAGAAATATATAGGGTAGGCTCCCTGGGGGTTGTGTAGAATGCATATAGGGTAGGCTCACCTGGGGTTGTGTAGAATATATAGGGTAGGCTCACCTGGGGGTGTGAGAAATATATAGGGTAGGCTCACCTGAGGGTTGTGTAGAAATATATAGGGTAGGCTCACCTGGGGGTTGTGTAGAAATATATAGGGTAGGCTCACCTGGGGGTTGTGTAGAAATATATAGGGTAGGCTCACCTGGGGGTTGTGTAGAAATATATAGGGTAGGCTCACCTGGGGGTTGTGTAGAAATATATAGGGTAGGCTCACCTGGGGGTTGTGTAGAAAGGTGTCTTTGTGGTTGATGCATCCTCCACACCTACTCCTCTTATCCATCTGTTTATCCCACCCTCCATCAACCTCTCCCTCCTTCTTCACACTCTCCTCCTTTCTCCTTGTCTTCTTCTCTCCCTCCTTCTTCGCTACAGCCACCTTGTCCCTCCCTCCACTGCCTCCTCCTCTTCCACCTCCTCCACCTCTCCGTCTCTCCCCCAATCTTGCCTCCTTCCGGTCCCCTCTCTGAGTCTGGTTCACCCCCCCAGGCTTGGCTGTGTTCTTGCCCAGATTGGATGCCTGGCGGGTGGGAAGGAGGTTGGCGGGGGTGGCCCCGGGAGTGTTGGGGGCTGGGACCCACTCCCCATACCAGCGAACCTCTCTCCAGTGGGTGCTGGGCCACAGCAGGGCTCGTTCTACCAGACGACACACCACCACGTCTGTGAAGTAGCGGCAGAAATCCTCAAACTCCATCCTGAAGGAAGGGTGAAAAAGTATTTATTTAGCTTTTCAACAGGAATTGTAGTGTATTTGTGACTTGTGCAATGCATTGCACATTTGAGATCTTTTCTATTAAAAGAGTGATGCTTATTTGACTATTTGTCTTTACCAGAACTCTCCCACATCTCTGACAATGAGGCCCATCTTCTCCCTCTCACCACGACCAACCTGCTGCCACTGCTGAGACCTGAAGGGGGCGCATTGGAGCTCTAAGTCAATGGACCAAATAGACAAAACCTTGTTTCTAGCCCGTTCCTGATTTTTGCCATTACCCAAAAGGGACAACCCTTGGCCTATAGTTCTTTGTTGAATATACAGTATCACGATAGACTCGAACAGCAGTAGCCGCCCCCCCTCACCCCTGACTCCAGGGCCCGGTCCAGTCGGCTGTACCCCAGGGGTTCCTCATGCGCACCATGCAGAGACGGGACGTCCCGCTACAGCCGCCAGGCAGCAGCGACCGCTCCCCCAGACACACGTTCCTCACTGCGGTGATACCATAGGCATGGCCCCGCACCAGACCACAGTCTAGCACCGACTCTACTCTCTCTCCCTCCGCTGGCTGGAGAGAGAGAGAGAGAGAGAGAGAGAGAGAGATAGAGAGAGAGAGAGAGAGAGAGAGAGAGAGAGAGAGAGAGAGAGAGTCAATACAGATACACAATAGAGATATGCTAATACCAATACACACCACAGGCACTCTATGAAGGCGCTCTGATTTGTATAATTGGAATCCTGCACAATACTATAACTACACAATGAACAGTACAGATCATTAATCAATAGAGGCATGTATCTGGAGTGTTTATGAGGATGGGACAGGACAGAGGAAGGGCCGAAAGAGGAAGTCAAAGACGAGAACGTGACAGGATAGAGAGCATGCAGTGCCATTCTGTCATACAGTAAATGTAAGTGTTAATATTGTTAATGCTGGACTATGCTCAACACAGCCACTGTATAGCCACCTGTCTCTCTATAACCCACTACAGTACAGTAGGTAGAGGTGATCGCTCTGGTAGGACGACATTCATAGAAGCTCTCTGGCCCAATCCAAAACCATTCATTACCACCCTGAATGCACATGTTCATATCACATCTAGGGCAGGTGGGCACAAGCCTAGATTTTGAGGCCTCCAGTAATGGTCTCTGGTATTGTGATGGATTGAAGTTCAACAGTCAAGCTGATCTTTCAGTACTAATTCACTGATCTATGGTCAATTGAAAATCTTCCCCACACATGGTTACTGTTACGTTGTGGAGAGGAGGGTAAGCTGATCCTAGATCTGTGGTTATGCAGGGCAAAGTGTATTGGTCACTGACCCGTATGGAGCAGGTGATGAGGGCTCTGCGTCCGTGGGCCTTGGCCAGGGTCTGGAACAGCGCCCTCCTCTGGTCGGGGTGCAGGGTGAGGGCCTCCCTGTCCAGGCATAGGGGCTCCGACACCCCCCCTGTGAAGTCTATGAGGGCCTCTGCTGTGTTACCGCCTTCTAGAGCCTCATAGCAGCCATTCAACCTGGGGGAGAGGGGGAGGGGAGGAAAGGGTTGGAAGACTGGGGAAATGTTAAATGGGTGAGGATAAGGAAAGAATGTTGACTAGCTACTGGTTTATTTTGTCAAGTGTGGTCACTGCGTGGTGTATACTGTGTGGTGTACACTGCGTGGTGTATACTGTGTGATGTACACTGTGTGGTACACTGTGTGGTGTGTACTGTGTGATGTACACTGTGTGATGTACACTGTGTGGTGTATACTGTGTGGTGTATACTGTGTGGTGTACACTGTGTGGTGTATACTGTGTGGTGTGTACTGTGTGATGTACACTGTGTGATGTACACTGTGTGATGTACACTGTGTGGTGTATACTGTGTGGTGTACACTGTGTGGTGTACACTGTGTGGTGTATACTGTGTGGTGTATACTGTGTGGTGTACACTGTGTGGTGTATACTGTGTGGTACACTGTGTGGTGTGTACTGTGTGGTGTACACTGTGTGGTGTATACTGTGTGGTGTATACTGTGTGGTGTACACTGTGTGGTGTATACTGTGTGGTACACTGTGTGGTGTGTACTGTGTGATGTACACTGTGTGATGTACACTGTGTGGTGTATACTGTGTGGTGTATACTGTGTGGTGTACACTGTGTGGTGTATACTGTGTGGTACACTGTGTGGTGTGTACTGTGTGATGTACACTGTGTGATGTACACTGTGTGGTGTATACTATGTGGTGTACACTGTGTGGTCTATACTGTGTGGTGTACACTGTGTGGTGTATACTGTGTGGTGTATACTGTGTGGTGTACACTGTGTGGTGTATACTGTGTGGTGTATACTGTGTGGTGTATACTGTGTGGTACACTGTGTGGTGTGTACTGTGTGATGTACACTGTGTGATGTACACTGTGTGGTGTATACTGTGTGGTGTATACTGTGTTGGTGTACACTGTGTGGGTGTATACTGTGTGGTACACTGTGTGGTGTGTACTGTGTGTGATGTACACTGTGTGATGTACACTGTGTGGTGTATACTGTGTGGTGTACACTGTGTGGTGTATACTGTGTGGTGTACACTGTGTGGTGTATACTGTGTGGTGTATACTGTATTCATTATATCTAAAATCCCAAGCCTCCTCTTAGCCAACCTGAAATCTAATATCTCAGCAGTGTTTTGGCTTTAATATAGTATAAAGTCTCACTTGGCGTAGGCCTTCTCCAGCAGGGCACTCCAGAACTCCCGTGGCGTGGCCGAGCGGCAGAAGATCAGCGTTCCATCCTCGCTGACCGGCAGGCGGTCGTCCACCACCACGTCTGTCCAGCGGCCAAGCCGCCAGAAGCGGAAGTGGAAGATTCCGGCGTACAGGTCCGGACGCTTGGGGTTCCACTCCTGTTCCACGTGGTCAGGAATAACCTGGTGGTTTAGACCAACCAAATTGAACAAGGGTTTAGGGGTCATTGAATGTGTTAGTACAGAGGCGGCCACCAATCCTGGTCATTCAGAGCTACAGAGTGTGCAGGGTTTTATTCCAGCCCAGCACTAACATGTCTGATTCAGTTATAAGCAACATATCATCAAGACCTCTTCAGTGAAATGAAAATTAAATCAGTGACCAGGAAGTAAGCCAGTGAGGGTGACCTATAAGGATTTGGCCTCTGCCCTTTGAACCCTCACCTTCTTCCACAGAGATGGCTCCGAGGCCAGACAGGAAGTGGCCGCCACCATCCAGCAGTTACCCAAGCTGCCTTGGTGCAGGTCCCATGTGCTGATCCTGTCCACAAAGAGACGAGGGTCCTTACACAGCTCCTGAGAGAGAGAAATAAATATATAACATGTTAACATATGCATACTCTAGGACCAGTAGTACATTGGGTGCAACATACAGTACAGTACTGTAAGCCTATTCGATCTAGTTTATCTTGACATGGTGCCAGTGTTTTTGTCAGGACAAGTGTGTCAATCCAGTCTATTCTCATTAAACTTTGATGTCAGAGCAGTATAGAAGAGAGAGCTCCTGTCCTCATAGAGCTGTTGATCTTAGTTTTGACAGTTTCAGGTCACAGCAGAGTTATAAGGATACACACACTCATACACTAATACACACACATTCACACACCTTGCTACACTCAAGCACACAGATACACACACACACACACACTGCTACACACACACTGCTACACACACACGGGTTATAACCTGTACAAATGTAACTCTAGAAAAGTTATGATATCATGTTCAAGCTAAGTACTGTATGAAGTATGATGCTGACCGGATTTTATAACAGTTATGATAGCTGAGGAAGGAAGTTCAGAGTGTCCAAGCGTCCTGTGTATGTATGCCTTGTGTGTGTGTGTGTGTTGTGTGTGTGTGTGGTGTACTGATGAATGCCTAGGTGTGTGA